TCTATACAGCTTTGAGAGGTAAGCTCTATGTTAATGAGATTCGCTCCTACTTTGTGTTCTGCCATAGTGTACGGACTGTGGTCAGATTGTATGATATGTATGAGATATATGATATAGATGCATTCATATAGAACTATATGATGATGTGATGAGATATGTTTTGATGTGTTTACTTTGATATGTTTTGATGTGTTTACTTTGATATGTTTTGATGTGATTTCTGTAATAATCTCTGGCCATGGATTCTATATGCACTGATGTCCACTTGGGGTCCTCCCTTGGGACTGACTGTGTATATATCTGTTATATGTTGAGTTACGCTTGGGGTCCTCCCTTGGGAACATGTGCACTGATTTTCGCTTGGGGTCCTCCCTTGGGATTGACTGTGTACACATCTGTTATGTGATGATCTCTGACCATTGATCCTATGTGCACTGATGTCTGCTTGGTGTAAGAACCCGCACTGTTAATTTAAGAAATTAAAGGAATTAAATGTGAGTTCAGGAAATAATTCCATAATTGACCCTAATAATTGTGAGAAGGCCTAAATAATTATGGTAAGTGAATAATAATGTTGAAAGTCGCTTTTCTGACGAAAAATGCAGATACTGGTTCTGTTCCACGGTATAAATGCATACCGATGAAGTATCCCGAAAAATTATGAAAAGTATGTATATATCACTAGAATAATATATATGACTAGCATAACAAGTTTCAGGTCAAAATAATGAGAACTGGTGCCAGAACTGATACTGGCTAAGTAAAAGCGTGTACTGGAAAAGTACTGCGAAAAATAAAATAAAAATATAAAAAATCCTAGAAAAAAGGCTAGGTTCAGAATTCCAAATTTGAGATTAAAATCCTAAGTGTAGCTATTAGCGCTAATACATTGCGATTAATACTTAAGTGAGCTATATAAGGCTTGGCACTAAACCCTATGATGATCTGGATATGGGGATATTGATATCCGGATATTGCCAGTTAGATATCCGGATATGCCCCCGACATATATCCGGATATTCTGGGATTTTGAGGAACAGTAAGGTACTGTTTATACAGAACTGGGCTATGGGTTTGTGGACCCTATTTTGATGGAGTTGAACTTCTGTGAATACTTAACTAAGTCAGAATCAAGGGATTAAGGGCTTATGGCTTTATGAGAAGCCTTAAGACGTAAAACGTAGTCTTTATGTTTATGCTATTGAGCTATGAATATTGATATGCTTGCTGGTCCTAATCAGATTGTGATCTGCTGTGTGTTGGACTTGAGCTGTGTGTACTCTTGACATTGGATAGTGAGCTTGCAAGGTAAGCTTTCATGTCCTCGGTTTAGCCATGTTGTGGTTCCACCATGTCCCATGTGGGTATGGTTATATGCATACTGTGTTACATGCTTGGGATATTTGAAATGCTGTTGAGCTTTATGTGTAATGGCTTTTAATATGCATGTGTTGTTCCATCTTGACGGTAAGCCTTAGTATGTGGCGTCATACAAGACGGTGATCCGGGTGGATACAAGTGGCGTCTTGCACTATGTGTGGGTATTAGGCGTATATAAATCCTGCATTTCTCTGGCCAGTAGAATAGAATTGACGCACATGACATGATTATCTGTTGCATTGCATTATTTTAGAACTGATGATGATAAACTGCTTTTGAACTTATATTGCACATGTAAGTGAGCTTGGGGTGGAAGATCCTTGAGGACCCCTTGCCTTACTGAGATTTCTTGTTTAGAGATCTCACCCCACGATTGGAGAATGCTTATTTCTGGTTTAGGTAGTATGGGGACTGATGCCTCTAAAGGCAGGAGGCCAGAGCTTAGTTGATGATTATTGCTGTTATATTTATGCTGGCATGACTGGATTGGATGCTGTTTATGTTTTTCACCTTTATCATTATGTTGCTGTTGAGTTGAGACTTATGTGGGCTTTGTTGCCTTATTTGAGGTGAGCATGGGAGTTGTCCATGCCACCATGTTGTTAGTACTTTTGAGTTGAGTTGTATAAACTGCTAGTTGGTCCGGTCTACGTGTTGTAGCTCCGTGACTAGAGACATACTTATGTTATTTTAATTAATGAGGTATTTCAGTTAGGTGTCTTTTGCAATTTACATACAGGCATGATTTTATTTAATTGATTAATTAAGCAAGTTGGTAATGATAATGACGTCATAATTGAAAAGAAAAAGATATTCCGCAATTTTAATTAAGCGCAGCTTAATACGATGATATGACAACAGTACCGGATATATATGGGGTGTTACATCTACAAGGTTAGAGATGAAGAATCCATAGAAAATGTGGTGCCTTGAGGGATTTTTCATGCAAGGAGGTCAATGGGAGAAAGTGGTAGCCAAGACACCCAAGGAGCTCTACGTAACAACTCAGAAAACTAACCTAGGTTAATGTGCCACCTAGTATTTACAGGCGCATTAAGTTTAATCCATCGGTATTAGCACTAATAGTTTCGCTAATCATTTTAATCTCAAACTTCATATTCTGAACCTAGCCATTTTTCTATGAATTATCATATTTTTATTATAATTTTCGCAACACTTTGCCGGTAGGCGTTTTATACTTAGCCGGTATAAGTTCTGACATCAAATCTCATTATTATGACTCCAAACTTGATATACTTGATCTAGGTATCATTCTAGGAATATTTATGTACTTATTATAATTTTTTGGGATACTTTATCGGTACATATTTATACCGTGAAGCAGAACTGGTATCTGCGCTTTTCGTCAGAAAAGCGACTTTTAGTGTTGACGAAAAACGACTTTTATCATTATTAAACCCATGTGATAACTATTAAAGTTCTTTCATATTTATTCAAAATCAATTATGAAATTATTTCTTAAATTCATAATTTTCTTAACGGAAGTAAAGCAATACAAATACGTGTGCCGATAAAGGTGAATGAAGTCGATGGAAGAAATAGAAATGATAAAACTGATGACGTGGATGATATGCATGCAGATTCTGACATGTCCTTCATAGCCACTAACCATGACAGATAGATAATAACATATTGCAGTTTTGAGTTTGTTAGATTTGTTACTCTCTATCTTATTCTGTTTAGTTAGTTCTGTGTTAGTAGGCTTCTTCTTGATGTATAAATAGCATACTTTCTTGTAACTTTATTCATTCATTGAGAAAGAGTAATTTTTTTTAAATTGTTCAGTCAATTATACTATAACAGCGCTCATGAATATAATATTCTACACCACTTTTTCTACATGCTATCAATATCACGCCATTCATGTTTCCATTCACAAGTATTGATTCCAAATTTTCTGAATCAAACTTGAAAGCTATTGAATAATAGAAGTAAAGGGACGAAGAACGTCCAGAGTAATAGCTACAATAATATTATATATATAGCGTATTGTTATTACCAAATAATATTATTACCAATGTTATTACCATATCTTAACTATTGATTTCCGTCAATCAATAGTTATCATGTTCACAAATCAAACTTATTAATTAATTATTAATTCGCAATAAATAATAACTGTTGATTGACGAAAATTAACGGTTAAGATATGATGATGACATTGGTAATAACATTATTTGATAGTAATAATATTTATCCCATATATATAGGGCTATCGTTTCTCAAGTAGCTTGAAATAATTTTATCTTCGGCTATTAAATCATAACCGTACAAAGATAGATCAATGGCGATCAAGGAAGAGAGAGAAAAAAATGAATCATAACCATTCAAAGGTGAATCAATTAATATAAGAAAATAAATAAATAAAACGACGTAATTTTGGAGTGGTCAGAGATAAACTTATCTCAAGTTGCCGGAGAAATGATGCATGCCATCTTTTTTTTATTGGTAAATACGATGCCAACATTAATTATATGAATATTAACTAAATTAATGATCAAATAATAATTTTTACCGAAAAAATGATCCAATAATAATAAAATTGTTTTAAGGGATTATGTAAGACACTCTAAATTATTGTAAAATATAATTAAGATATTATGAGATTATTTTAATATATTTTAACATTTTAAAAATTGAACAAAAAGGGTGATCACAAAGTTACAATCAAATTATTGCATAAATATGTATTGATTTTAAATATAGAGTAAATACCTTTTTCGGTCTCAGCAAATTTTACGATACTCGCTTTAGTCCCTAGCAAATAAAAAGGCCATTCGTGATCCCTAAAAAATTCAAAGTGGATCCATTTTAGTCCTTTTGAGGGACTAATGTGGGTCTTTTTTGAATTTGTGAGGGACCACGATTTCAACTAAATGAGTTCATTTTGAATTTCTTAGGGACCACGAATAGCCTTTTTATTTGCTAGAGACTAAAGCGGGTATCATGAAATTTGCTGAGGACCAAAAATAGTATTTACTCTTAAATATATTAATAAGGGTGCAAACTGTAATTCGATCGAGGAAAATATCATTTTTTTAATAATTACGTGAATAATAAAAAATAAATTATTTTTTTATTTAACAAAACAAAACAAGGTTTTAAGCCCTTTGACATTTACAACAGAATTTGTTTTTCTAATTTAATACAGGAACTAGTGAATTACCCGTGCCGATGCACGGGAAAAAAATTGGTTTGTTTGGCATGGTGGGTCGGCCCTCCGGGCCGAACTCATTTTGTCAGTATTTCAAAGGTCCCAAACAGTCATTTTTTTTAAATAACAAAACAGTCATTCATTGTTACATTAAAAATAGGAAATAAAATAGGATAATAAAGGTCATATCTTTGAAGATAGATAAGGAAAAGAGACGCGAATAAACAGTCATTTTTTTTGTCTTTACCTGTACCATACAACGAAGTTATATCTTTGAAGAAAGAACCCAATATACTATAGCAGTCTTTGAAATACTTCCTTGTAAACTATATTAAGGGTACTATTCGTAACGCAGCCATTTTCATCAAGTATCAATATCTTCAATCCATGCTTACTCTTTACTCTAGACAGTGCCACATATAATTGCCCATGAGTGAAGACAGACTTAGGGAGATAAATTGCAACATGTGAAAGTGATTGTCCTTGACTCTTGTTGATAGTCATGGCAAACAATACAATCAGGGGGAATTGTCTTCTTTAGAAATTTACAGGAAATGTATGACTCGATGGGCTCATCGTCATTCTAGGGATTAACACAGTTTCCCCTATATTGCTTCCTGTAAGTACAATTGCCTCAACAACATGATTCCCTAATTTTGTAATAAGCAATCTCGTGCCATTGCATAAACCTCTCGACTGATCAATATTTCTTAATAGCATTACTGGAACTTTAACTTTCAAGATTAATTTATTATCAGGAATCCCTGAGCATGATAATGTATTTAAGATCTCAGGGGTGATTTCATCATCCTCAACAGAGGAAGTCCCACCTTGCTTAAGAATTTTATCCGAACTCAAAAAAGTCTTTTCTTCAGCAGGAATCATAGACATTAGGTGCTCGTTTAGCATAGCAACATCGGACAATTTAGGAGTTAGAATAGCACGTTCTTTAAAGAAGGTCCGATCCAAAATATTATTCAAGAGATTCGGATAAACAAAATTAACCATATCCGACAGCGGATCTTCCGATTCTCTAATCAACAATTCATCTGGAATTGTTATAATAGATTCTCCATCAACATCATCTCCAAGATTACCATCCCCAACTTTAAGTAGCCACTCAGAAAATTCTTTTATTTCCTCTAAATTGTGAGCGCTACTTCCAGAATTAAGACGCATGTTCTTGGTCAAAGTTAATAAATGACAATGGGACCATATATGAGAAGAATTAATGGTTGCATGAACTATATCTTGTCTGCTGCCACGAGGAATGACAGGTAATATTTGCCGAAAGTCACCTCATAGAACAACAGCTTTTCCACCAAATGGCATATCAACACAACTTGTATCAGAAATTCTAAGAACATCTCTCAGTGTCCTATCCAGAGCCTCAAAGCAAAATCTATGTACCATTGGAGCTTCATCCCAAATGATTAACTTTGTTTTTGACAGCAACTCAGCTATAGTAGATTTCGGCCTTATATTACACGTTGAATCTTCATTGATTTGAATAGGAATACGAAATCTAGAATGCGTTGTTCGTCCTCCAGGAAGCAGAAGGGTAGCAATTCCGCTAGAAGCAACATTAAGTACGATTCCAGCTTTTGATCTAATAGATGCTGAAAGAGTATTCCAAATAAATGTTTTTCCTGTACCACCGAACCCGTATAGGAAAAATAACCCTCCATTACCTGCCGTAACTGCTGAAACAATTTTATCATACACAGCTTTCTGCTCATCAGTGAGGGAATTAATTAGTCTTTTATGCTCCTCTTCCAAAGCAAATCTGTCATACATTAATTCATCCAACACTAATCGATTTTGCATGTCAAGCAAAGTTTCACTATTGATGCGTGGCATTGACGGATAATCTGAGAGGCATTTCCCATTGCTCTGCAGTACCTTATCAATTTCTTCAAGAGTTATGTTTTTTATAGACTCTTCTGTAAGAATTGCATCTGACAAAGCATAAAATTCAAAGGAAAAAAATTAAAAAATTAACAAAGATAAAGTAATCAAAGAAAGAAAAGAGAGCGAAATAAGTACTAAAGCATCATTTGCTGAATGCGGAAAAAAAAAACAAAATAAGCACTAAAGCAACATTTGCTGAATGCGGGCAAAAAAAGCTAATAAGTACTAAGGCATCATATGCTGATTTCGGTTAAACAAAAAAAAAAGTGTATGAAATATTATTATAATACGTACCTTGACGTCCTATTCTTTTCCTATGCCGATAAACAACGTCGTCGGATAAAAATTTCCAACACTTTTCTCAAACTTTTTCAGGTCTGTTCATTGAGTTGGCAAATAACAACAGAGCAAACAGATATCTAAGATAAGCAGCAGATCCCCAGGAACTTGCCTCCTTAATTGCATCAATGTACTCATTGTCATCATCCAGAAGTCCTAAAGAATAGCACGCATCCTTAAATGTAGGAAAAACCACGCCATTGATCGTTCTAAGATCTTCATGTGCAACCTCTTTGAAAATTAAGCAAGGTGCGAAGATATGAATCTTCTTCATTATTGGCAGAAAAACGATTTATCCTTCCAATGGAAAATCCTTTTTTTTCTCGGATTCCATTCATGCGTTTTTTCTTTGAAAACAAATTCAGTCGGGTACTCTCCATAAGTTAGATGCCTACCTTCTGGATATTTTTTATTTGCATCCATCCAAGACTCAAAAATTGACAGTCTAGACTCCGCCCTTGTCTTTACATCATACAACGAATCATTATCACTGAAAATAATGTTCTTTTCATTAGGCAAGTGAAATGGCAATCTCTGAACAGGGGGATATCTCGAATGAATGACAAATCCAAATACTCTCCAAGGTGCTTCACATGCGGAGACATACCTATCATAAATAAATAAATCGGTGAACATTTAAGTTAATAATTTCTCAAAAAAATTGTGCCAATTTTGTAGGAAAGCAAAACACAATGGAGATTATTTTTAGTACTTGCAGTCATAAAACATTTTTATTTCATCGTCCGAATGATTTATGGCAGCTGTCACTCTGTCATTCCCTTTGTGGATGTATTTAAAAAGATATTTAATGGCACTTCTCTGGCAAGTATATTCAACGTTGATATGAGCCTTGTACTTTAAAAGAAGGTGTGCATTATAGGGCACAACATAACGATTATCAAGTTCAACACCATTTTTGTTCACAACTCTCCCATCATTTCTTCTCTTATAATGAGGAAATCCATCATCGTCAATCAAAGTACGGGAGCAGAAGGTTTTTGGAAATTTTTTTGAACACCGTCCGTCCTTCATGCAAGGAGATTTGTAATTTTCAGGACCACGTGGACCATGTATCATGTAACTCGTGACAGCCATAAACAGCGTAGGATTCGTTTCCTTGTCAGGTATCTCCGCTGAAATCAATTTATCAATATCAAGAGCACTTTCAGCTTTGCTTGAAGGGTTCAAGAATAGAAGAATATGAGCATGAGGTAGTCCGCGCTTTTGAATTCGATTGTACAAACATCTGTTACATTCAAAGAATATAACATAAGTAATAATAAGAATACAACAACGTTATAGAAAGATTCAATGCATGACGTAAATTTTTTTGTATAAAATCCAGTTAACAAAAAGAGTATCAAGTTTATAATATACTTACATGCAATGACTCTTCCAAGAATATTTTCCTTTTTTAAATCATGTAGCAACTGGTCCAATTTGAACTTGAAGACTCTGCATAGAATATCAGGCCGATCTTCAGGGTTCAGCTGTCTGGCCCTAACAAATCGTGTAATTTCTGGCCACTTAGCATTGCAGGTAATTGTTATAAAAAGATGAGGATATCCAGCCCAATGGCAAATTGCGAAAGCGTCTTTACAATTTTCAGCCATATATCTAGGTCCGCTTGTGAATGAAGAAGGTATAATGATACGTTTTCCAGTGCTCAGTGCTACATCTTCACCGCTATCTAATGAATGTTTTATATTTTTGTACAACTCAGCTCTCAGATGACTCTGGTTATATCGAATGAAATTAAGCCGTTCAAACTCAATCATAGTGTATGCATCAACCAGAAATTGTTGGAAAAGTTTCCTTAAACGATGTAGAATTTCTGATTCTCTAGATCGCATCTGAAGTCTAAACGAAAAAAATCCCTTCATGCTGATCATGGCTCTTGCATTTTTCCTACCACTGGATACAGTACGCTGGACATCATCACGATAACCGTCTTCACCGTATGGAAATAACAATGGATACTACAAGCCAAGATATAATGGATGCTTCACATCGATGCGCTGCAATACTCTATCTTGTGTTTCAATAATGATATCCCTATCGCCCATAGCACTGTCTATATCTCCAACAATCAAAGCTGCCACTTCGGATGCTGTCGGAAGATTATAAACTCTTTCATCACTACCACGCCTTCGAATAAGCCTCAACTTTACACAATTAAAGTCATCTTCCTTATAACGGTCTCTAGCGTACCTGAAAGACTGAGCTATACTGTTGTGCTTATCGAACATCTCCTTCAATAATCGGATAATTTCAGGATCAAGCATATCTTCAGTACTGGTGGAACTGCAAATTTAATAAATAAAAAAATTGTCATTCATATTACTCAACATAAAAAGATACTCCACATATGAAACATGAGAATTGGGTCAAAAAAAAATATATACCTTAGACAACCAAGTCTGTTGTCCACTTCATGCTCAGTGTCGTAAATATAAAGTTGAGCAAATTTTGGAGACTGACTATCAGCAGGCAGAAGACTGCCAATTAAATGATGAACTCTCCCCCAACTCTAAAACAGTAAGGGCCAGAACCTTGATTTACTGATCCATCCACTTTTGCTCCAAAGGAGGTGAAGGAAAAAATCATATTGTACGCTCTAATATTTCGCAAAAAATGGCGGCTCGTCATATTGGAATTAGCATGCAATTGAAGCAATGTATCCGGAGCAGTTTTTAACAAAGGAAGTTGAACTTTTCCATTGACACAGCACAATCCAAATTGCGGCATACTTGGGTTACGATCCCTCTTAGTTCTTTCTGCATACCACATTTGTGCTCCACAATGCTCGCAAACAAAAGTAGGATCCCCTGTGTCCCAATAATCTAAACATATACAAATATTTTTAGATTGAAATAAGCTTGGTTGTCAGACAGGAAGTTTTTTATTTGTAATAGCAAATATATAATTTGAAATTATAATTAAGACCTCCATTGATATAAAACGTGTTTCGCACATTGAAATTGTTTATATAAATATCTATAATAGAAAGAAAAAATGATTGGAAAAAAAAGACATGTGAACACAATTTTTTTTTCATGTATTAGATGAACCAAATGAGCACCGTTTTCACCATAAATAGTAGACTATAAAAAAAATACTTTGTAAAAAACAAAAAAAACTACATTGGCACATTCGAATCATCTATATCCATAATTGTAACACAAAGGATAACGAATGGAAAACTAAAAAAAGAGAGGCCAACAGGAACAAAGAGTTGTGATTCAATATTTGAAAATTGAAAATTGAAAATTAATATAAAGACCTTGATGGATAGAGGTAATAGTTGGCACACTGGAGTCATTGACATCAGTATCTGTAACACAAAGCAAAAATGTAACAAAAATAACAAAAGACATTTTTAATATAAAAATATTTTTAACTGCGTATTAAATCGGATTTGTGCTCACCATATTGAGTATAAGTTGCAGACAAATGTTCTCCAAGATGATCTGTAAAAAATAAAAAAAATGGCACATTGGAATCATCCATATCCATATATATAACACAACAGGAAAACGTAATAAAAAAACTAAAAAGAGAGCCCATCACGAACAAAGAGTTGTGATTTAATATATGAAAATTTAAAATCGATAGAAAGAGAGCCCATCATGTTCTCTTATTCATTGTTATCAGTATCTGTAACACAAAGCAAGAGGTAACGAAAATAATAAAAGACATTCTAATATAAATAAATTTA